TTCCAGACGATTCGTCTCTAACTGCGAGATACATCTCCAGTGGCGGCGAGTGCTTCGACGTAGTTGTGTACTGGACGACGACTCTAGAGCAACTGATGACCGGTTGACTAGTATCAGTTGCTTCAGAGTCGACGTCCAGTACACAACTACGTCGAAGCACTCGCCGCCACTGAAGATGTATTTCGCAGTTAGAGACGGAACGTCTGAAAGTAAGGAGTTCCAGTTGACCACGGACAATCAGCCCGGAAGATTATACCACTGAGCATATTAAAGCCGGTCTCTGTGGCTTAGTCGACTGGTCGAAACAAAATGAGGGACATGCGATTAAGACTCTCAGTGTTTACTGGTATGAATAATTCGTGAATCTTGAAACTATATGTATATATATATATATATATATATATATATATATATATATATATATATATATATATATATATATATATATATATATATATATAATATATATATATATATATATATATATATATATATATATATATATATATATATATATATATATATAAAATATAATAAGAAAATGAACACTAGAACATTCATTTGAGAAATTCAAATTAACCAAGAGAATGTTATAGTAGAGCTAGATATGTGAACGTGTACAATGTGATGTCTCCATTATCCTTCAAGGGATAAATGTTAGAGAAATATTGAAATCGATGCCACACTTGATGAAGTGCTTGACATGTATGTTCCGTTCTTCAAGGAACTCGTCAGTCGCACCACGTCCATCGAAGTGAGGCAACGATTTCAACCTCCAAACTTCTTTTTGTGACTCCAAGTGGCAGATCGTAGAGTAATGAATACACTACACTTCCATCTATAGCAGCGATTCCCAAACTTTTTTGATGGCGTACCACCTAATATGAAGTCTTCCTTTCATGTACCACCAGTATAAAAATGATTAATCATCATTCCATTGCCAACATAGTAAAGTTTGTAAATAACAATTAAAAAATAACATTTAGGCTTTTAAGTACTTTACTTTAAAACAATGTTTATTTAGTTCTTTGCAGTTAGTTGTAAATAAATTAGTTAAAATTAAACACAATCTTTCCCACTCCGACTGTCACCCCTCCATCCGCTGCTCGCTCACCCTCACGCTACTAGTAGAGTATACCAATTTTCGAACTTCACTCGCGTACGCGTACCACCAGTGGTACGCGTACCACAGTTTGGGAACCGCTGATCTATAGGAATCAGTAGAAAGCACACCTTTCAGATTACAGTCACACCAAGCATCGGAATTTCACATATCTTCCATACCCGTAGGTATTCATTTGTTAAGTATTATTTTAATTTATTCATGGTTAATTTGAATTTTTCAAATGAATGTTCTAGTGTTCATTTTCTTAAATATTTCATTCAGTGCCATAAGCACAAAAAATTTCATTTCCTATATATATATATATATATATATATATATATATATATATATATATATATATATATATATATATATATATATATATATATATATATATATATATATATATATATATATATATAAAGGTTTATACAGGTACTAAAATAGAAGAGAAGAAACTTACAGTATTAACCTGAAATTTTTGTGACAGCCGTTTACATATGTTTCAAGCTAATTGGCAATCGTCAGAACGTCGAAATTCAAGTTTTAGATGTTCAAATTCGGATGTTAATTAAAAATCACAAAACAAAGCAATACACAAAATTCTGCTAAGGAATCGACTTCTTTGTGGTTCTTAATTGAGTGTCTGTGTTAGAGTTCCTTTTGACTCTGTTTTGAAGACTGAATCAATGTCTGCCAATGAGACGATATTTATACCTTCTGGAATTTTGTACCGACAAATAACATAATTTTAAAAGGTTTATATATGTATAAAAATAGGAAAGGAGAAACTTCCGGAATCAACCTGAAATGTTTGTGACAGCCGTTTATATTTGTTTCAAGCTAATTGGCAATGTCAGAACCACGTAGTTCAAGTTTTAGATGTTTAAACTTGGATGTTAATTAAATATATATTATATATATATATATATATATATATATATATATATATATATATATATATATATATATATATATATATATATATATATATCTTTAAATATGTTGAAGAACTTCAATGTGATTGCCCGGATTGTGGTCTCCAAAAACGAATTCAAAAACATCTTCTCATTTTCGATGTATCGCCTTTTATTCAACTTCTTTCTCAGGAAGTAAACTATAAAGACAAAGAAACTGTAGGCGAATACTCAAATGTAAATGTAAAACTTACAAGAATCATTGTCGAGTATTAAAGTATTATGACAAGTGTCACAAATTGAATTTGAACACGTTGTTTCCTTTCGTGACACTATATTGTTTCTTATTATTTCCCCCTACAGTTTCCTAGTCTACCTCCTGAGGAAGCCGTTAAAGACATATAGAAATATTCAGAAATAAGATGTGTTATTGAATTCGTTTTTGGAGACAACAATCCCAACAATCACATCGAAGTTTTGTCAATGCATGTTTGATAACATTCATTTTGTAGATATATATATATATATATATATATATATATATATATATATATATATATATATATATATATATATATATATATATATATATATATATATATATATATATATATATATATATATATATATATATATATATATATATATATATATATATATATATATATATATATATATATATATATATATATATATATATATATATATATATATATATATATATATATATATATATATATATATATATATATATATATAAAACTCACTTTCTTTTCTCATGCACATGTTTGTGGAACTTGAACTAAATGTTCTATGCAAAATCCTGATTCTTCGATAGGTATATGACAAAAATTTGAAAATTCTCGTTTTTCAAACAAAAATTCTCAAATGAATTTCAATTTTCATATTGAAAGCAATTTACAAGATCTAGATAAAATATATCCTCACCCTAGATGAAGCAGGAAGTTTGGCCGATGAAATCTCACTTACTAATAAGACAATCGGAATCAAAGCAAATATTTTCTTCATGCTTCTTCTGATTCTCGAAAATGAAATATATTTTTATCGATATTTACTTATATAAGTCTATTCATATGTGTTGAATTAATTGATTATTTTGATGATGTCGTAAAAAGAAATTGAAATTCACGCCAATTTGTACTGTGAAATACTAGGTGGGATAGCATTAAATTTTATATACCATAACATATATCCTGAGAAAGAGGTGTGAGTCCCGTATTCGAAAAGAAGAAATTTACAATGTTCGCCACAAACAATTTAATTATTTTATACCTCCCTAGCTGAACCAGCGAACTTCGTACCACCGTATATCGTAAAAGTCAACCAATCCAGTAATTTCAGGTTTTACCTACTGAAAAATTCCTAGAGAGCTGAATTTTCGTACACACCTTTATTACGGCGTTGTAACACAGGTGTGAAAAATTGACATTGATATCGTGCCAGCTAAATAGTTATAAGGGTCAAAAAGTCACGAAAATCAGTTTTTCGAAAATATCTCACGACCTATTGTCCGGAGGTCAAAATAAGTCATTATAAAAATTGTTTGTCGTGAAATTATCTACAAGCAATGCTGTTTGCATTTTTCTGTTGAATCAACCGTTTCAGGAGTAGAACGCTGAGGAGTATTCTGACGATGTTCTCCTCTCCTCCCACTATCGAGGTAGAAATTTCGATGATATGTAGTATGTTTAAAAGGTTTTTTATTTGAGAAAGATTAATTTTTCATTTAAATACTCTGCTTGACTCCTCGTTTAAGCATGACTGCCCAGCTAAGTCAAATGTTCAAAAATTTTGAACATCTTTCCAATTTTTTTCCATCCACATTTGCCACTATAATATTTTATAAAATTACAGAAAATTGTTTTCAATAGATCATCAGGCGCTGGTGGTAATAAAGTTATCGGATAAGTATATTATTTTTCAAAGCCCACTGTTTCGGATCAATTTCTCTTCAGGTATAAAGTAGCGGGTCTCGGAACATTAAAATACGAAATATCTGCCAATGGAGGTCGTTTGCCTAATTGAAAATAAAAATAAAAGTAGTACAAAAAGTAGATTTTGCTAAAGTCTTAAACTTCTATAATATAAGTATATCCTTCACAAAACGCCCAAGTATCAAATAGAAATGTTTAAGACACTCAAACACCTTAATTAAAAGCAAAAGAGTTTACGCCTTTGTGTGCGGCATACAATATCGCAAGTAAGTGCATTCTAGTCGCTTTCTCAGTGCTCTTCTTCGAAAACGGTTAATTATACAGAAAAATGCAACAGGCATTTTTGTAGATAATTTCACGAGAATATGAGTGTATGTTTTCATGGAAGAAATACAATGATTACAAAATAAATCTTAAATTCATTGCTTTATTGATATAATGGCACGGAAAGAAATAAAGAAGAACAAAAATTAAGTATATCAATGGCGCATCAGCATGACATGGGTCTATGAATATGTACTTATTGCAACATAGAATGCACTCGTGCATTTCTGCTTTAATTTCCTTCATTGAAACACCTGTTGTACGACGTTTGTCGCATTTTATCATGCACAAAAACAAATATAGTCCATGATTTGCCGATACTTGAACATGATTCGTAAACTGACCCTGAGGAAGTTTTGACCACAAACAGACAAGTCTTCTGATTTGTTAATCATAAGGACAAGGCAAGAGGAATCCGGAACTGAATTAATCTCAATCTCGAAGGGCATATCCGGTGGGGTCATTGGAATCCCCAGAATGAGAACTAACTCATCCTTAAATTGATTTTTGAGCATAGTCGGGTCAGCCTCATTACTCATCAGTTTTCTTATCAGTAACCGCATTCAATTTCCTTTTTTAATTAAGTGGACCTACAATTTAACGCGGGTTTCGAACGGCGAATGGGCTTGTTATCAGTGAACATTACTCAACAGTTATCATCATTCAACTGCTTATATCATAGACAATCACACACACCCATGCCTTCATCGAGGCTCAAACCCAAATCTTACCGCACCATAGTCGGTTGTTTTCCCGACTGAACCATGGATGCCAGCACCCCTTCCAATTCTTAGTTTTGGTTGCTTTAGATTTTGAAGCATGAAACTACCGAGTCCACCTTCAAGTTGAAAGTTTGAAGTATTCAATCCGGAACACACTTCCAGTTCGAAAACTCAGTTGGATAATTTGTGGCTTCGTTTTCGTGCATTACACAGTTAATGAATTTCGATGCATGCAGAATTGTTTTGTACGGGTTCACATTAGGTGTCATTGATTTTTAGATTTGACGAAGAATTTCGACTTCACCTCTTAGTCCATTTTATTCATCAATCTGGACAAGTTCGGTTTGACTGATATCAGTTGGAGGTTGATTCAGTCGTGTTTAGCAAACAGATTCATCCCAGTGGCGGTGTGTAGGTATAGATCAGGGTTCCAGGAGCAGTTCTGGACGTTCTGGACACATTTGCCACCAGTGTGAAAATTCGTATTACGCGCGGTAAACGTATGACACCTTGATAAAATTTCTTGTATGATAACTAGAGTTTCTTGGGTTTTTTCAACAGAAGTCAATCGTGGTATGTATTGAATACTTACATAGAAATAATGAAGTTTCAATTCACATTTTTATTCATCATAAAACAAGATATTTTTTTTGTTTCCTACAGTATCGACCACAAAAGTGTTTTAGAGTACCGGCCGCTATAAAGGTTTATTTTAATTGGTTTCATCTCTTTGTGGATAAACAATAATGTCGGAAAATGAAGGGAGAGATAAAATGAAGATATAAAGAAATAAACTTCGCCCTGCCACTTTTATTTCTGAAACCAAAACCTTCTCCACTAACACTTCCTCGACTAATGCAACTATTGCTATTAATAACCAGTCAGTTGAAGATTTTAAAGCAATTATCTCAAAAATATCTAATTATCAGTTATATCCTGATATAACCTTATATATAATAATAAATACATAATAAATAAATATATATATAATAAATATCTTATTATCCTGATTCTTCCAAGAAAAGAGCTATCGTACGGTGACGAAAAGCTGAAAAAGTGGAATATTAGCAAGTTCGGCATACAAAAACAATCTTGAAGAAAAGCAAGCAAAAAAAGAGATTGATTCTGTGAAGCGAAAAAATATTTTGTTGTCAGGTGGGGAAGTTAGCAAGAAAGGAAAAGGTTTGGTTTCGGGAAACCAAGTTTGCAAGTAAAGCAAAATTCCAATGGAAAAACAAAGAATTTCTCAAAATATCGCTAATCAGTCAAAGACTACTTCTTCGTCTTTCTCAAAGTCCTCTTTGTCCTGAATCTTATGATGAAAATTGGAATCAAGGTGGAGACTGCAAGATTTAGATCTACGTGACTTGTGTTCACATTTCCAAATTGTCAGAAGATTATATTTGTGACAATTGCTTGGCTTAAGCAACATTTACTGACGATATATTTGCCGGTCGGTACGGTTGGAAAAACAAATTTTTGGTGGTTAGGACTCAAACATCTCACACATATGGCATAATTAGTGAAATAGGTCTATAATTTTTTAAACCACTTTTATCGCCAGACTTGTGCACCGGAACAACCTGTGCGACCTTCCATCTTGAAGGGAACTTCCCCTCAATTGAGCATTTATTGAAGATCATATGGAGCGTTTGGAGGATGGATGAAATGCAGTTTTTCAAAAATATGGGTGGTAAACCATCCGGGTCATAGACCTTGTTGATATCTAAATTGTCAATGGCCTCTAAGCATTCCGTTTTGCTAATATGTGTTATGTTGAAATTATATGGGCTACATTACGTTGACAATACAGTCAACATTACCGAGGAAGGGGTGGTCGACGGTTCAAATACGTTATTGAAAGGACCAGAAAAGAGATTGGAAATCGATTGATTGTTAGTAGCCACTTTATCTTCTAGATGCATTTCAGCTGGCATTGATTTGCTAGATTTTTTATCAGATAGAAAAGACCAGAAATGCTTAGGATTATTTTTCATATTTCATATTTTCGGTTTTAACATAATTCACATAATATCTTGTACATAATTCCTATAATCATCTCTAGTATTTTCTTTACCAATTCTTCGAAGTCTCGAAAAGTTATTATAATCCATTATATTCTTATAATTCTTCCAATTCCTATGAAATTTCTCCTTTTCCTCATAATTCTGATAGTGTTTGGTGAAAACCAAATAGTAAAACGCGATTTCCTTATTTCCCTACTCGGCACGCTATCAACTCTTACATCTTGAAGAATATCGTACAATTTTCCAATGGAATCGTCAACATCGCAATTTGAGAACAAATGTAACCAATCAACCTTATTTAACCCATTATTGATGGATTCGTAGTTAGCATTAGAGAATTTGAGATTTATGTATGAATTATTGTTAAGCCGTCTAAGAGTCATCAAGCTCAGATCTATTAAAGCGCGGTGTGATGAGTATCCTCACCGACAAATGGGGTTAAGCAACCTCCCATGCTCACTTCAAATTGAGTTCCCGTTGACACCGTCATGACTAAATCGAGTAATTGACTATTTGAATTTGAGCTGCTCTAAATTAATCAATGAAAAGTTATCAACGAAACATTTACTAAGAGCACCAACGGCACTCAGAGGATAAAATGATTGAAAATTCTCCCCCCATTTCCACCTAAGCCTTGGCAAGTTGAAATCACCAAGTATTACAATTTCATCGTTCTTATTTTCCGCTAGAATATCTTTCAAATTGTTAAAAAAAATTATATAAATGATTCAAAACAGTATGGGAAGGAATATACACACAACAAATTTTCAATTTTTTACCACCACTGAGATCCACCGAGATCTATAGATCCTCAAAATCAGAGTTTGTTGACCAACCTGAAATGGATTTCGACGTCAAATTATCCTTTACAGTCATCACAATTCTACCACCATCATTTTTAGCACTCAACACATCGATTCCTCCTGTATACATTGTAAGAAGCTGGGAAAAGCTCTGAACTTAGAACTTCACTTTTTAACCACGAGTCAGCTTTGCAAATGACGTCATAGTCCGAGGAACACACGGGTTGATAAAACTCGTAAGTCTAAGTTCTCAATCCCCGAACATTTTGGTAGTATAGTGTCAATTGTTTATACTTGAATGCGAATAAATACGTACAAATTTTGAACGGACTAATTGAATGTTATCTAATCTAGACTTGACAGGATTGTCTCATCACAGACGTACACAGCCCGAGTGTCATCTGACTTTTTCACGAGAATTTTACCATCTTTTCATCCAACAATATTTATAGTTCAATCTCTTACAACAGTCTCTGCTCTTTTGTGAAGTATTCTGCACGGGCTTCAGCATTTAGGTTGATGATCTTAGTGGTGAGGTTTCGTCCTCCATTTCTCCGGAAAGCCGTTAGAAAAGCACTCCTCACAGAGGAATTGACAAACTTCACTATAATATTTTTGATATATTGATATGAATATTATGATAATCATATGAAATAGTAGATCAAATATGAGATTTTCAAATTTAGAATGAACCACATTTTCATGCACACTAGGTATACACCAGTTTAATCCAAACTGATGCATTATAATATGATAGCAATCATAAAAATTTCAGGAATGATATTTCAACATCTATCCGTACACATAAGCTGAATCGATATTTGATGTTCAAATCTGTTCTCTGATAGGCAAATAATTATTTTCAATTATATCCGATCATAATCATAAAGAAACCAGATTCATCAGCTGGATATATTAGTAATAAGGTGAGGGTTTTAGGGATTTATATGGTAACAATACAAGACACACTTATTCATTCAAAAAGCAATCAGTTTAGTAACATTGAGTTTGTGACAGGAGATAGCTTTCTGGCAGTAGCAAATGAAATAGTTCTGACTGTAGACAGCATATAAGTAGTATCTTTTGTACTCACCAACCTGAAACATATAACAAGGTGTGGGAACCATACGTGAAAAAGGAAAAAGGGGAAAAACGACCCCTGGAAAAAATTGTTCGTAAAATAAAATGTCACAAGTAAGTCAGAAATCCAAACTACACTAAGAAAAAAGATGGAAATGAAATTGAGGAAATCATATCAGCTTTCCTATGGATGATGCGTTAGGGCCACAAAACATTCGTTGATTTTTCATGAATAATCGCCTGCATTCGTATAGTATTCGTTTGCTGTTGTATGTAAATATTTATTGATTTCATGGATTACATTGTTTAAGAGCTCACAAAATTTACTATGCTGGTTTAGAATAAATTTCAATACTCTACTGTCGCGAAACGTGTTAATCCACCACTGGTTGGTAGTGAAAAATGGTTAGAGTCAAATTAATTAACGTTGTTGAAGGGAGAATGGTGTTGGTAAAACAGACATACGACTTTTTACAAACTTATGAATTTATAGCAGAATAAAATTATAAAAGAACTGAAGATAAAGAATAGGTATGGTAACTATAGTGGTTTCTATTTTGATGCATAAGCGAGCACCCTCATAAAAGAAATAAATGAAGTACTTCAAAGTTAATTCACTGAGATTGAAATGATCGCTGGAAGTTTGTCGAAAAAATTTTATTGAATAAGGTACCTTACCGAATTACAGTTTTACTGAGATACTCTATTAGTATAAATGTTATTCATGGATCTTTCGTATATTGCATGTGAAAACTTTTTGTACTTCTCATTCAGTCTTATTGAAGTATTTGGTCTGAAAGAGTTCGTCAAAAGAGCATATCATTTCTACCCAAAATCTAATGGCAAAGAAATATAGTGGAATTCAGAGTACCAATTGAATGATTTTCATTTTTGCTTTTTTAATACTATGTAAAATGATCACAGTCAGTGATTGAAAATGATGAATTTCGTTATTCGCAATAACTTAACTATTGAGTTGAGTAATTAAACACCATGATTCATTCATATGGTGTTCTCATGACAGAAATATTGTGTAAATATGTTTATCAATTCTGCCTTCCATTCATTTCGATTTCCATTATCTACTAGAAATTTAATCTATAAACTTGTGGTAGAGGAAATTTATTATACATGAATCAC